ATAGCAACTTTTTTTGGAATACTACATCACTGACTATTTTAAATTAAATTCCTTCCACAAGACTCAACTTGTGTGTCCTAAAAAAAGCTCTTGAACAAATACACTAGAACCTTACAGTACTACTTATATGACAGAATCATTAAAACCAACAGGGCATTAATGTTATGAAAGAACAACACTTTGACTATGCTGGTATTGAATCAAGCTACAGTAAACACAAAGTTTGGGATATCTGTAAATTTATTTTCTAAATCCAGATGAACAGATACCTGCTGAGCCAGTAAATTAAGCTTTTAAAGGAGATCACTCACTAAAGAGCATCTTTTGCTAATGTCGCTCCAAAGGATGGAGCAAGTATGGATTTCTTTTGTACATACCCATCTTCTCTAGAAGAATCCAGATGGATTCTGAGGTGTAGAGAGCAGAATAGAGACCTCCTCCAACTCACCCAGAACAAGTGGCAGAAACAACCTGGCCCTCCTGAGTCTCTGCCCAGCAGTCTATCCTCAAGTTCTTATTATCTCCTAAAAGAAAAATTATCTTCACAGCTTTTTGTTGCTCATTTATCTAGAACAGTATCATGGGCAGCACTGTCGTCTTTTTTTTTTTTTTTAAATAAAGGAAAAGTAATTTTGCTGGTCTGCTCCTTGCAACAGAGTACAAATTCACAGAGATTTTTACTCATCTATTACAATGTTTTCACTGTCAGGTTAGGGCATACATCAGGGCACAAGAGATTCACAAGACGAGCTGAAGAGCCCTAAAACAAAAAATTGTACTCTCTTTTACTCAAGCCTCTCTGTCCATTGAGCCTGAAGTTGTCAAACAAGAAGGAGACTTCCAGTTGTTTATTGTTTATAGTGTGCTTATTTCCCCAAACCCGCAAATGTCACTACAAATGACCCTAAAAGGCAACATAAAGGGCAAGAATCTCAGTACCTTTTGTGGTGAGCAAGTTCTTGTGCTGGCAATTTCCGTCCAGATAGAGAAGACAGATGATTAATCTGGGAGCACTGAGAAAGGCCCACACAACAGAGCTATCAAAGTCACAAGGTTTTCAGCTGAGACCGCTAAAAATTCCCATTAAAACTAACTGACCCTCTTGTGTGTGCCAATGAACACAACTGCAAGAATATAGTTAACATCCTGGGCTTCCTCTTTTCTTTCTTCCTCCTCGTCTCACAGTAACTCACTGCTGTCATTTTCCAGCTAGGCAGTGACGAACCAAATCTGTTGGGCTCTCAGCAGGGTCTACCTGGGGGCTCACTGCCCTCAGCCACTCCAGACTCCTCGGGGCACAGCGCTCGGCTCCCGTGGGGTTGTGGAGCCAACTTCATAACAAGGAATTTGCTTTTGAGATGTGGTGCCAAGCAAAATAATACAAGAGTAATTAACTGCGTCAATTACTACATTTCACAAGGAAAGAAAAAAGAACTAAGAGCCATCATTCTTTATCGTATTTATTTATTTATTTCAAACCAGAAGCAGCCATCCTGGTTTTCAGAAGGGTTGCATGTATATGCTTTCCTAGTCACTGGGAAGGAGCTGACAGCTTTCAGCACTTCAGCAAACACTGCTTTGAGATTCTTTAACAGAAGGAAGGAACCAGCAGCCAGATGAGAAGCATGTGAGGGAACGCATCTATTAGCAAGTAGAGGGAGATGTCTTGTTAATAGAAGACAGAAGGAGGGACAAAGCAGGGAGAGAAAGAAGCCAGCAGTTAGTCATTTTCTCATACAGATATATTTGGCTAGAAATGAGACGCATATCAATCTAGTATTCTTTTCTGCACTTTCAGAGCCAGTGAAAACCAATACTGAAAAGCCAAACTGAACACTAAAAGGCCTCTCTTCAAAACTGTTCAGCACCCTTAGAAGCCCTCAGATAATAAAAACAGAGAGAAAATGAAAATTAGTGGTTGCATAGGACAAAGACCTTCAATTTTTAAAAATAACTTCTTAATTCAAAATGGCTGCTGCTGTTTCAGATATCTACTAGTGAAAAACTACAGCTTCTCACTTCCAAACCAGAGCATATCAAAAGATGGCCTAAGGCTAGCAAGGGACAAATTCTGGCCCACCAAGAATCAGCTTTGCCATTAGCGAAACCCTTTCTCCGGTTCCTTCTGTGAGCATAAGGTAGGAAGAGATGGCTGAGCCTCCAAGACAGGCTGAGAAGGTTTTGGGTTTGGTTTAGTGTTTTTTGTTGTTTGGTGGTGGTTTTTGTTTGGTTTTGGGGTTTTTTTTTGGGGGGGGGGGGAGGGGAGGAGGGTTTTGGTTTTTGTTTTTTTAAAGCCATTTTGGAGAGGAAAGGAGAAGAAAAAGCAGAGCAGGGAGAGACTAAGGGCTCAAGAGAACAATGAGTTGATGCAGCACAAGAATCAAGTTTTATATCACCACCCTTATAAGAGACGAGACCATTTGGATATGTTCAGTCTGTGGAATAGAACTCAAGTCTCACCATAGCAGTAAAGACCAAAGATATGGATTAGCAAGATAATTGCTCAGCTCGTGTCATTGCCATTAAGAATGTAATGTGCAATTGCAAAAGTTACCCATGCAGTTTCTTCAAGGAACAGGAACATAAATAAATAAATAGATCAGTAACATGCTCGGTAATGCTACCTTTAACTCAAATTAAGATATGTTTAATATCAAACTATGTATACGCAAAATCTGCCTAAAAATAAAACAGTTTTTAGGAGATTCTTCATCCAAATCATCACCTATGTTACCTCATGAGCAACAGCGTTTCCTGCATTCCTTTGCTGGCTGAAAAGGATTACTGCAGTGTTGCTATTTGCTCCAATCTGCTCTCCTAAAATGACATTTTGGCATATAGCCGGTTTTAACTACTTATGTTTAAGAAAACCTCTAGATAATATAGTTGCTCTGAACAACATTTAATATACACTTGACTCATAGCACATTGTTACTCAGCCCAAAGACTTGTCACTGAACTTAATTTTAATACCATACATCAAAGCAAAAAAAGACAAAGAAATAGTTACCCCTTCCCTGACTAATCAATAAAGCTAAAAAAAAAATTCCCTGAGTTGCCATGGGAAAATCAGTAAGCAGTATGCCCTTTCAAGGAGACATGTAGTTTTGCACCTGGATGTTTTCTTCTTTTGCATTTTAGAGAGATCGAAGAGAAAGAAGGAAAAAAAAAAAAAATCACAGCATGATTCATCATTATTTGCATGAAACTACAGCAAAATCAAGATATTAAAATCCATTTGCCATACTTTTTTTTTTTTAAATACTTTTCATAAGCCTATTTTCATAAGTCCTTTCATAATCCGCTTCTGCCTTGTGTTGGAGACATGATATTGAGCTCAACAGGTATTTCATTTGACTTAATATAACTACTATTCTCTTCTTAAGACACACCAAGATAACAAATAAGGACAAATATGGAAAGGTCAGAGAAGCCAGAGAGGAGGAAACTAGGGACAGATAAAGGGCCAGCTCAGCATAAATATTTTTCCTATGAATAATGCTTGAAGTGGTAATAAGATACTGAAACATAATTCAATTACTAGCTAAAGTTTAGTTACCACACTAAAATTTCATTCTATTTGCAAATTCTAGGTAAATGCACCACTGAAGGAAAAATCACCTGCAGATAAAAAGACATAACAATCCTTTTAAATGTGTATATTACATACCTCGTATTAAGATTTATACAGCTGCAACTGTTTAAGTACAGACTTTTCTATGCAAAAACAGAAGCTAGCTCTTTCTCTCTCACTACACATACTTCTATGTGGAAATATAGAACTGGAGAAGCCATGATTAAAAAAACCAAAACAACACACCAAAATATTTTAAGACCTCTGAATAAAACTGGTATCACAGTACTCTAGTTTATAGACTTCTTGGAGAAGTCCATTTTAAGCTCCGGATAAACCTGATACCCCAACAAAAGAAGAAAACTAATTAGCCAATTTGCCACAATATACCCCTGTTCTTTCACAGATATGAGAGAAACAAAATCTGGTTTTCAAACCTCTAGTTCTGCTAGAGCTGCCCTTCTAACCATTATTCTTCATCCGATATATCAGTAAAACAATAGAACATTTTAGCAGCCCTTTAAAGTTAATACACAAGGGGAAAGATCTGTTGACTCTGATTTTTTTCTCATTTCATATAAGGAAAAAACTCTAAACTTCCTCTGTTTCCTTCATCAACTTAGGCCTGTGGACTCTGGTGACAACAGGGACTTTTATTGCAACTATGAAGTTTTTAGTAGCATAGCGTTTATACATCAGTGACTCTTGTTCTGTGGGGAAAGAAGAAAAAAAAAAGGCAGGCAGTTTCCATAAGCTACAAGGATCCTCAGTACAACGAATAATTGCTTAGCACTTCACTTTCTACATAATAATAATTTTCTTATATGTAACTAAATATTTTAAGCAATTTATTAATTTATAAGCTTAGTTGTGGACATCTCTGTGTTTTTGGCATCAATACACAGACTGCCTCAAGTGTTGATACTCTATGTCCTCAAACAGTTTCTAAGTGTCCTCATAATTGCTTGTCACCTGTAAAAGAGGTTTAGATCCAATGCAAAATTAACATATGGTGAACAGATGGACTCAGAACAGACGTTTGTCGAGAAAGTACTCACACCAAAGACTTTTTGGCTTCAGCCTTTTAGGACCTTCAGAAAAGTCCTACTTGAAGCTCCAAGTCATACTAATCAGGGGAACATCATTCCTCAATGACAATCTCATGTTGCAAAAACTTTTATGACCTGCTATAAAGAAGAATCCTTGCAACTTGTCTGGTGTCACAGTGCCTCCATAAACAGAAGAAAGAAAATATTGATTCTAAAGGGTACCCCACCCATCCAACATGAATAATTCATCTTGTATGAAACAAAAATGCAAGCAAAAAGCTACTATTATAATGATTTTTAAAAAATAATAATTACAATAAAAAGTTTAAAAAAAAAATCCCCCCCCATGCAAACTCTCAAAATATTCCATTACTTACTGAGGAGGTAAGACAAGAGTTGTTGGCTGGGCTTTTGGTCTGCGTTTTGCAGATACTCCCATCTGGTTGGCTGAACGTTTCAAAGACTGCTGATTCAAAAGGCCAGATGCTAGCCCGGCATGGTACTGCAACTGGATAATAAAAAACATATATATTAAAATACATACCACTGCAGTATTCTTTGTCAGACCTCTATTATCTGTACCATCTGATTCAAATTACAGCCAATCAGTAAGTTAATGTATGGTATTTGATATATATATTGCTTGGATGGAAGACGCTACTAACAAAAGCATATAAAAAGAGTCTAATGTGAAACAGGTATTACAAGGAAATCATGCTACAGGGCAAGTAAGATGATGAATCGAAGACTTCCTCTCAAATCCCAACTCTCCTGAAACTTGGGCTTGCTTTCAAATGTTAAGACTATTTCTTCTCTCAAGGGATCAAGCATTCTTACTTTTTGGAAGAAGATACGAGGAAGAAAGATGCAACCCTTCCACTATATAAACCAGCTCTTTAGAAATAACACTCGTATTTTTTTTCTTAAACATAAAACCACAAAACATTCACAAAGAAATTTCTACCACTGTAAAGAAAAATCTAGCCTTTAAAATACCTGCTAGCATGTCTCCACAGCATTGCAACAGAAAGGTTCACATTCAGTAGCTTTCTCCTCTAACCTTTTATTTTTCTTGCCAAAGACAGACAAATTTATGAAGGACACAATGTGAATCTGCAAGATTTTGAGTGCATTCCCACTGCTCACAGATTTAAGAACAGCTACAGTGGTGTGTCAGTCCTGAAACCAGCTTCAAGTGCAACAAGTTACAAGCTCACCGTTAAACACTTTCAATTTACATTCTTAGTTCCTCATTTTTGAAGAGAAGAAGGTGGAAAAAAGGCTCAAGATTCAGACAAATGTGATTTCCTTCCATATTCTAGTCCCCACATTAATGTGCTCATTATCTAAAGATTTGTTCTGAAAAAGGTGAACTGTTTAACACATTAAAAACTGTAATCCCATGATCTGCATATAAAGAAAAGGTTACAGTTAGGAAACTATGACTTACAAATGTTCAGAAAATAAAGTGGTCTTAGGCAAAGCTATTCTGCAGGGTACTGACTGAAAATGAGGGAAACAAAGCTTGCTAAAGTCATCTTCTTGAAAATGGCTATTAAAATGAGTGAAGCTATCCCGTGAGCCAATTTGACTCAAATGTCAACTCTCGGAGCATCCATAAGGCTTTTTAACGGGCTCCTGATTTACTTGGCTGCTTTGCCACGTGATCTCGGCTATGGCACAACACGAAGACACATTGCATTCCTAATGAAAAGAGAACCGCGCTCTGCCAGGGAAGGGGGGGATTGTATTGCCCCAACAGCTCTGCTTAGACCAATGAATTTTGCTCAAATTTGTTTTTCTCCAACAGATTTCTGAAATGAAAAAAAAAATAATCAATGAGAGCAATGGACAGTGCACGTTTGAAAGGCAATGTTTCAAAGCGTCAGGGGCTTAGTTTTCAATCTTCACTACCAGAATTTGCAGTGAGTGCAAAACGCAGGAAATTAAAGGGAAAGACAGCTCTGGCAGAAGACCCTTCTGACTCCAGGAACACGCTTTTCCCTTTTCTTCTTGCATCTTATTACGAGCAGCCCTCCTTTAGCCATCTTGTGCTGTTGACACCATTCACTTATGTTCACTGCACAAAATGACACTGGCAGGTATTTCAAGTAAATAACATCATTTGGACACTTACTCAGAGACGGAGGTAATCACAGGTGCTAATCATAGATGAATTTCAAATGCAACCTTTTAAAAACATTTCGTAACCTCCCAGCTAGTCTGACATTTAGTGGTCAGGCATAAAAAAAAAGGAATTAAAAATAAATATATTCTAAAAAACAATTCTGTCCTTGAAAGCTCACTCCCAGTGATTAAGCTATTTTTACTAATTATAAGTATTTCTTTATGATCTACCTTTGCTCCCAGGAATGCAGATCCAACTGTCAAAATCTATAAGGGCCATTAAATATTTACCAAATCATCCTTATAACAGGAGAAAAGGTCAAAGTTAATAAAACTGACAGGCAGCTTCTGTCCAGCTTGATTTATACATTATTAAAGTATCACATACTGTATTGCACAGAATGCATTCCTTTTTGGGGGTGGAGGGGTGTTAACTGAAGAGATTGGGAAATTGTTTCTTAATCATTTGTTCTGAGGAACAGAAACAAGACTGAAAATAGTGCCAAAGCAGTACTACTAGCATCAAAACTATAGCCGGAAGATTCAATAGTCCTGATGGATAACGAACGCACCATTCAGTTCATTTTTCCTCTTGCAAAATGAACACCTCTGTCTGCCAGCATCGGCCATGACAGCAAATCTCAGCTAAAAACATACCAATCCCCTCAAAAGTTTTGTTTACTAACAAAAAAATGCCATTTCCTAACATATTATCTTCACCTTAGGGAAGCCACATGAAATGTACTGTCAGAGGATATTATGGGTGCTAAAAGGCTCACGCAGGGAAGCTGAGATGAGCTCGTGGGACGCAAACCCTTTGAGGGTTAATAAACACACAGAAACCACATTTAGCTCAAGAAGTCCCTGAGCCAGAGACTGCTGATGGCTGGAAGAACATTGGGGAGAACATTGTATACAGGCCTGTTCTTATAGCTACTGCTGGAGATGAGATATGGGGCTACATGAGCCTTTGGTTTGACCCAGCAGAGATGGTGTGTGTTTCAGTTAGTGTCTACAGAGGGGTGGCCCATGCATGTCTAAGAGACCCTGCGACCCAACGCAGCCAAGAGTTGGGCACTTGTGGATGGTCACGACTGCCATCTGCAAGTGTATTCCCAATGACCTTCCATCTGCTTTTGACAACTGTGTTCATTTAAACCAGCAGAATGGTAAACAGCAATAGCCTTATCCACAAAATATGCTAAACACTCACTGAACTTGAGTATTGGTGCAGCACTAGGTAGTATTGCAAATCATTTCTTTATCAGTCGCTAAGGAATTCCCCATCATTCAGAGGCTTTATTACAGCAAGCATCCATATCTTTCAGCTTTGGGGAGTTCCAACTGGTTTATGTGAAGCTAAGCTCTTTACTTCCTAATGAAATATTCCTCTCTAAAATTTCAACAAGATTGATCTTTTTTCCCAATGCATGCAGATGAAATATCAAATCTATTTCAGAAAACCAAGAAATAAAAATCAACAACAACAACAACAAAAAATCAATTTATAACAGTTAGCAGCTAGGATATACACCAGAGCCAACTTGTACAGTTTTATGATGAGTCTCATGATAGCTGATATTTTTCTTAAAACTGTGGCTCCAAGTAGATGTGTGAATTCCACATTTTAAAATCAAGAGACTCTAGTTCTCAAGGATGTAGGAAAATTACTGAAAATAACACTTCAGTACATACAAAAGCTTTACCTGAAGGTAAATAAAAACAGAACTTGGATTATTTTAAAATTTCATTATTTTTGAAATTCATTATTTTTCTATGTTAATGGCAACATGGCCTATACTTTCTAGAAGAAAAGATTATCACTAATGTTTTACTGGTGCCATAATTCACATTTTCACAGTGTTCGTGAGTATATGAAAACTACATTCATATATTAACGGCTCTCAAATCTTCCTCACAAAGTGAAATACATCATAACAGAGATAGCACTTTGGAGTTACTCTTCTCACAGTTGTAATTGTAAGGAGGGCAATTTCTTCATTCACATAAGATGTCTTTGGTTTTCACATGAACTATTTGAACAGAGAACACGTATTAGAGAAATACAGACTGGATTTAGTCCCGAAAGCATTAATACTTTTGTAAAAGTTAATCACTTAGTATCTTTTATTTATTCTACCTTGGTGACTCTTTTCTTATCAGAAACAAGGCAACGCACCCCCTAAAACAATCGAAACAAACAAAAAAGAACCCCTCCAACCCCCCTGAAAGACGACACGGTCTTCTGCAGATGATCTTTAAGGTTTGGAGCAGACAAAGAACTCCTGCTACAGTCAAAGGGCTTAAACCAGAACAATGCAGTAAGGCTCCTTCGTTCAATAGAAATGTACTGACCGTATCGTGACAGATTATTTTTTGGCCTATAGAATCGCTCTACAGTGTATGTTATGAAACAACAAACATGTATGCAGTGCTAATTTAAAACTTTTAAAATTAAAGCTTCATCATTAGAATCATGCTGGGACTAAAGGTCTTTTGTTTACATAATTCATGGGCTGGAGATTTTACATGTGCTGACTGCTGACCAAACGAGCCATTACACTCCACTTACTTACAAGGCCATTTGAAGTTGCAAAAATTGGTTGGGTAGGAAGAAGGTAAGAATCAGGGGGGAAAAAAAAAAAGAAAAAAAAATCACTTGGAGCATTAACAATTGATCATGTCAACTCACAGTTGCACATTAAATTTACATATTACCACTATTTAAAGCTTTTAAAGCACCAATAGGTTTTCTTTAGAAGTGAAATCAGAAGAATGAATTTTACTTGTGATCACATTACCCTGTTGTGATATTTTTTCCATTCTAATGTAAATACTTAGAGACCACATACATAAACGGAAAAGCATTTTCTCAGCTATAGGTAATATAAAAAAAAAAAAGTTTATTTCCATTCTCCAAGAAATGGAGTTTTACAGAAGTGGCTGACAGATACTTGCCCATCATGGAACTCTGAGTTCAGTGTAATACTGGTGAATGCATGCACATTTGCCTCCTTTTAAGATGCACAGTACTTTGCCCCTCATCATTAAATTATTTCTCCCTTGCAGCTAACAAGGGATTTGTCTATTATGATAAAACTCTAGTCGTTCTTTTGAAAAGAACAATGAGCAAGCAAGCAGGACACTCCCACAGTTTCATCTCTGCAGACTAAAGTAGGCAAGAGAGAAGTTACACTACCTTAATTGATATTTTTAAGCTTCTCTCAGATAATGAGGCCGGTTTGGAAATTCTCTTTTTCTCCAAACAATATTTGATCATTTTAGGATAGCTGAATTCTTGACTTGGCCAAAACAGCATCAATAAACCAAAAGAGCAGTTTCCAATTTACTTACTCATTGGTTTTCCTCTTGTGGAACTGG